GAATTGCTGGGATTATAGGCGTGAGCCACCGCACCCAGCTGAGATGTGTTTAATGTGGTATTACAGCACTAAAGCTTGCTGAGACTCTCTTTTGGTTCACTGCTTTATCTTCAGTTCAGTCAGTAGTTGAGTAAGTAAATGAGTGAATAACAAAGCTGTCTTTCAGCTCTTCTTTGGCTGCATTCTCTGACTCCCACAAGTCAGTCCTGCCTTCTGGAGCACCCATCCCAATTCCTAGAACTACTGCTCAGAGGCAGTCCTTGACGTCACAAAAGAACTGTGGGAAAATTCTGTAACTTCCTTTAATTGTAAAGTTTGACTTAGAGAGGGCCCTGGACTTTGAAAACCTCTCTTGCAGTTTACTTCTTGCTGAAACCTGTCATTTGTCACACTTTTGCATAGTACTGCTTTCTGTCTTTTGTAAGCTTGGGTTTCCAAGTAATAGGAATTGTAAGACAATGAGGACAGGCCAATGAATATGGCTTGAAGACTTGCTGGTAACCTTAGGTCACAAGTGGGTAGGTTTAGGAAGGGACTGTGTGAGCAGAAAGTGGAGGAATGTATGCAGGTCAGTAGGCTACGCATAGGAAGAACTAGCCAAAATGGGTTTCAGGATTTAATCAGGTGCTTGAGTTTTTGCTTGTTTGTTTTAATGCAAAGAAGGCTTTTGGGTACAAAAGACTAACGGCCTAGGGAGATGGACAAGTTGAAGATAATGGAAGAAAAAGATATAAATGCATCAGTAGAATTGTAAAAGACAAAAAGTTCCAAATTACCTGCATAAAAGTTGGCCTCAGAGTAAGGAGGACAAACATCTCACTCCAAGAAAAATGCAAAGAATATTATGATGAGGCAAAGATTAGGAATAGCTGCTGTGGAGACCATGCTAAAGAAATATTAAGAGATATAACAAAATAGTAGTTCTGGGTATTAAAAACTGTTTCACTGGCTCCAAAATGAATTATCTTTAATAACTGTAAGATTTGCTCTTAAGATGCCCTTCTCCAGGTCTCTAAGATGACCTCATTTACTTAGCAAAACAAGGACATCCATCAAAGTTCCATTTCTGTCTTCACAGTGATGTCTCTCTCTTTCCCTGAGTAGAGGAAGAGAAAGTTTCTCTTTTCCAGAACCATAGCTTTTCACTTGGGTTCTGGTTTGATACCTTCCTGACTCTAGGACCTCATACTCTTTCCAATATATTGGGCCTTTTCCCCCCCGCTGATTTCAATCTTTTGTAAGCTTATCACTTGTAATCACTTCTTTTAAGAAGATAAATATTGCCCCAACTTTCAAGAAATTTGTCCCTTGATTCGTTTGTCTTCTCCTATTTTTTAGCATCTTTTTTATTGTCAAACTCCTTGGTAAGTAAACTACCCCCACTACTTCAGTTTCCTCCACACCAATGATCTTCTTGCACTACTGCCATTTAGTTTTTTCTCTCTCAATTTCTCATATACTGAAGAAAAGCATTTATGAACTCTTACTATGACTCTGGCCATATGTTGCTTCTTTTTTTTTTTTAATTGTATTTTAAGCTCTGGGGTACATGTGCAGAATCTTGCAGGATTGTTGCATAGGTACACACATGCCATGGTGGTTTGCTTCTCCATCCCCCCATCACCTTCATCAAGCATTTCTCCCAGGAGCTGGGTTTTTTTTAAAGATCAACAAAACAGACTGATAGCCAGACTAATAGAAAAGAGAGAAGAATTGAATAGATGCAATAAAAAATGATAAAGGGTATAACATCACTGATTCCACAGATATGCAAACTACCATCAGGGATTACTACAAACAACTCTATGCACATAAACCAGTAAATCTGGAAGAAATCGATAAATTCCTGGACACTTGCACCCTCCCAAGACTAAACCTATTCAGTAAGAAGCTGAAACCCTGAAGAGGCCAATAACAAGGTCTGAAGTTGAGGCAGCAATTAATATCCTACCGACCAAAAAAAGTCCAGGTCCAGACAGGTTCACAATCAAATTCTACCAGATGTATAAAGAGGAGCTGGAACCATTCCTTCTGAAATTATTCCATACAATACAAAAAGAGGGAATCCTCCCTAACTCATTTTATGACACCAACATCATCCTGATACCAAAACCTGGCAGAGACACAACTAAAAAAGAAAACTTCAGGCCAATATCCATGATAAACATCGATGCAAAAATCTTCAATATAATACTGGCAAACCAAATGCAACAGCACATCAAAATGCTATCTTTTTAATACATAATGTTCTCCTGGTTATTTTTTAAACAGTCTCTAATTTTAGTTTTGATTTTCTGTTTAATCCAGTTATATATAACAATTTTCAAAACTATAGTGTTTTTAAAAGATAATTTTTAAGAGAAGTCTTAGATTTGTAGCAAAATTGAGCAAAAGGCACAGAGAGTTCCCATGTACCCCATCCCCATAAACACACACAGCCTCCCCAGCTGTCAACATCCCACGCCACAGTGGTACTTTTTTTACAATCCATGAACCTACATTGACACATCATCGTCACCCAAAGTCCATAGTTTACATTAGGGTTCACCCTTGGTGTTGTACATTCTCTGGGTTTTGACAACTGTATAATGACATGTATCCATCATGATAATATTATGCAAAATAGTTTCACTACCCCAAAAATCCTGTGTGCTCCATCTGTTCATCCTTCCTTACCCCCAGAACCTCTGGCAACCAATAATCTTTCTACTATCTCCATAGTTTTGCCCTTTCTAAAATGCCATAGAGCTGTACGTAGCTTTTTATTTCTGTTTGAATATATGGAGATGGGGAGGAGAGAGGATATCTTTTTGTTATCATTATTTTAAATGATGAAATAAACTTGTTCCTTTATATTTACCATATCCCTCAAACATAGCACATTATGGAAGCCAGTATTATCATCATTTTCATAGAATTTACTGTACTTATTTCTAGTAATCCTATAAATAATTAACCCCAGCTCTTCTGGGAACTCCAAGAATGGTAATGCATAAATGATTCTTTGCTAATCCAGAATAACTTGGGAGATATACAGGCCCCAGAAATAAAGTCCCTGGGAGTCTCAACGTTTGCCTACAAGCGAAGGACTCTGGGAATGCCTCTCTCATCATCCATGTGGCTATAATTCCAAGCATTGAAGGCACACATTCTCTTACATATAAATACACATACTGCCTTAGTAGAGTGATTTAAATAAAAGATAAATCAACATTCAAATAAACTAAATTCTTCCTGTGGCTGCTTGAGTTTTCTCTTTTACAGGTTAATATGTTTTGTATAATGCTTTGCTGAGACCTGGCATTATTTTGCAAAGACAAAAGTTTATTACCTGCAGTAAGCAGATCTTAATGACTGTGACATAGGTTTCAGAGGAATACCATTTTCATCTAAGCTCCATGATAGAGAATAGCTAAGTTTTCCTGATGTCAAAAGACAGAGTTCTTCAGTTCCATTTCCCTCAGGAAGAAAAGGCACATCTGTTTAAAAAAGGCATTCAAAACATATGAATTGTTTTAAGTGCAGTTGGAGCACATTGTGGGTTTTTCTTTTCTGACTTTTACTTGTGGAACTCTAAGAACACAAAGGAAGATCTGTGCTAACCCCACTGTTATCTGAGTGCTCTCCCTCATCTCCTCTTTACGATACTTCAAGGACTACAAAACAGAAGGTAAAGACTAAGATGAATATGTAGAGGTGAATATCAAGCTTTTCCTCCTTTTATGTCTGGAGGTTTCTTAACCATTCTCTGTGGGCCTGGCTTCCAGCAAGAAAGGACCACTGGCAGTAGAATAAGAGGCCAGCAAGCTGCACTTTCTCCTCTTTCCCTGCATTCCCGAGTCTTCTGCATCTCCTCTTTTTCTCTCTTAATCTCCAAAGACTCCAACAACACTTCTTAAAACTTTTGTTGAGTGACCAGTGTTCCCTAAATTTTTCAAGTCCTGAGTCTTTTCTCCTATGTCTCCATAGCCTATTTTTCTGCTTTATCTGGACTTGAAGCAAACTCCATTCTTTCCTCATTCTCTGCCCTTTTTCTCCTCTCTTCCCTTTGCTCACTTGTTCATACTTCCTTACTTTTCTCCAAATGGGCCCAAGTAGTTGCAAAACCCCTAGGAAGATGAAAGAAAGGAATCATGGGGAGAAGGAGAGGAACAACAGTGCTCTCAGAGACACGCTAACTTACATTTAACAGTATAAAAGGAGCAAAATCAATTGAAAAACAAAGAACAGAAACATCCCTTCTTTCTTCTCTCCTTTTCTCTGTCCCTCCCTCTTTCCTTCCCTCCCTCATTTTCTTCTACCCTTTCCTACACAGTTCAAAGATAAATCCATATGTCCGCGAGCACCTGTAGGTTCACTAAAGGAGAGGTAGAGGCAAAGCAGCCAGCCCACTCAAAAGCAGAGCTCACTTTCCAGAGAGCATTCTGTCCTTGCCTACAAAAAGCACGGGTGCTAACTGCTCATTTGAAATTTCCCAAAAATCTGACCCAAGACAAGCTTTAAGCAATTTAGCTTAACATCTGAATTAATAATTTAATTCACTTTAACAGAATACTGTAAATACAGGGTCAGGCACAGTGGCTCACACCTGTAATCCCAGCACTTTGGGAGGCTGATGTGGGAAGATCACCTGAGGTCAGGAGTTCGAGACCAGCCTGGCTAAAATGGTGAAACCCCATCTCTACTAAAAATATAAAAATTAGCCAGGCATGGTGGCGGGCATCTGAGGCATGAGAATCGCTTGAACCTGGGAAGTGGAGGTTGCAGTGAACTGAGATCGAGCCACTACACTCTGTCCTGGCTGAGACTCTGTCTCAAAAAAAAAAAAAAAAAAAAAAAAAAAAAAAAAGGGAAAAAATTTTTCAAAAAAAAAAAAAAAAAAAAAAAAAAAGAATGCTGTAAATATAGGATTTTGTACTTATGTGAATGACCCAGGGTCATTTAGGAATATGGTACTCAGGAAGAAAATAGGGAGAATATAATATTTTTAATAAACTCACTGCTTCCTACTTCTCCATCGGCAGGCATGACCAGCTTATCAGAGCTAAACTCTACATATTCCAAAATGTTTTTACCTTTCACCTCTGTGTAGTTAGGTAAAGGTAAATATAGTTTGGCCAGTAAGCTTGTCCTTTTGCTTTTTTCATAAACCTAAATATAAAAGAAATGGTTGATAGCTCACTTAAAATACAACATAGAAAAAAGGAAAAAAGAAGCACCCTTAACAACATATTTTTATTCATATTTTAAAATACCAGACCATAAAATAAATAATGCTCTATAGTATTTCCTCCACATGATTATTAGAAAAGTAGCCAGTCATGTCCTTGAAATGCCTTTTACTGGCTTCATACAAGGGATTATGAATACAGTTGTGAGAATACATATCTGAGGTACATATAATACCATACTAACTTAATTTTGTGTAGCACTTAAACAATTCTTTATCTCATGTAAATCTGATAGTAATTATAGGAAATAAACATTATTTTTATTTTATAAATCAGGAAATGGAAGCTCTATATGAAAATATGTTTGTTTTTATTATAAGTGATTGAGACCCAGTTGAATTGCTTAGGAAAAAGGTAGAGTCATTGGTTCATGAAATCCAAGGATGAGTTAAACAAGCCATGGAAGCCAGAGAGGGTGGAAAAGCTCCAGAAGAAAGGAAAAGGGGGTACAGAGTAGACAGTACCATAGAGGTTCACTGAGTGCTAAACCCAGGTCTTCTGATTCTATAGAATGTGCTTTTACTACAATTCCATTTAAGTTCACTGCCATAACTATAAGCCAAACTTACTATTTTTTTTTTTTTTTTTTGCTTGAGACGAAGTCTTGCTCTATCACCCAGGCTGGAGTGCAGTGGCTCAATCTTAGCTTACTGCAACCTTCACCTCCTAGATTCAAGTGGTTCTCCTGACTTGGCTTCCTGAGTAGCTGGGACTACAGGTGCCTGCCACCATGCTCGGCTAATTTTTGTATTTTTAGTAGAGATGGGGTTTCATCATTTTGGCCAGGCTGAACTCGAACTCCTGACCTCAGGTGATCCACTTGCCTTGGCCTCCCAAAGTGCTAGGATTACAGGCATGAGCTACCACACTCAGCCTAAGCAAACTTTTTTCAATTAAAAAAACCTCACTTTGATCCATGCTGTGTTGCCACTGCATGGGAAAACAGTGATTGTGCTCTAAGAAGGAAATCAGAGGGGAAAATTTCTCCTTGAAATATAAGAAAGAATATGCCAATAAAAGTGATGACTTATTAGCCAAGAAATTAAAGAAAAAGAGAAGTCAAAGAGGCACCTATTTTTTTCTGGTTATCTAAATACTTCCTTGCAAGAGAGAATTTAAGACACCACACTGGTACCTTTGACGAAGGCATCCCTACTGCACAAAGGTTTGTAGGAGTTGTAGCTCTGTGAAATAAGTTTCTTATTGTAAATCAGTAAATTGGCTAACTTTCAGAGAAAATGAACTGATAAATATATTCAAATGTTGAGTTGGCATTTACAGGTCAACCTTGTGAATTTGCTTAGGGTGTGTAGGATGCATTCTCAGTGGACTGTCAAATCCAGGTTCTTGGATTACAGGCTGGAAACCAACTTCTGGACAGCACGGTAAGTGTACTAAGATAGAGAATTGTAACAGTTGAGGGATCCCAGGAGCCAGTCTTGTCCCCTGATGACAACTGTCAACACCATGGTGCAGATGAGATTGAGCATCTTAAAAGTGTTAAGAGTGAAAATGCGTGTTTTAAATGGGGAAACTACACATACAAAAGCTCAGAGGTAGGAAATTACAAGGACGTATGGCAAAAGACAAGCAGCTCAGTTTGGCTGAAACGATGAATGAATAAAGAGGAGTAGTAAGAAATGAATTAAAGGCGGGTCATGGTGTTCCACGCCTGTAATCCCAGCACTTTGGGATGCCGAGGTGGGCAGAACCACTTGAGGTCAGGAGTTCAAGACCAGACTGGACAACATGGTGAAACCCCGTCTCTACTAAAAATACAAAAATTAGCTGGGTGTGGTGGCAGGTGTCTGTTTCCCAGCTACTTGAGAGGCTGAGGAAGGAGAACTGCTTGAACCTGGGAGGTAGAGGCTGCAGTGGCGCCGGGACTATGCCACTGCACTCCAGCCTGGGCAATAGAGTGAGACTCTGTCTCAAAAAAAAAAAAAAAAGAAACGAAAAGAAAAGAAAGAAATGAATTAAAATGTAGGTTAAAGTCTGTTAGGCCAGGGCATATCAATTTATTTTGCAATTTTTGCACTTGCTAATGGTGAATTCATTTCTAACTAGATTCATCTCCCTCCCTGCCTCTTAGTTTGTTAGGCTCATACGCTAAGCGATAGAATAATAAAGGAGTCAAAATACACTATTTGGGGAGGCAGATTTTAAACTTTGAGTGATTGGATTATTATATCGCCATGTACTTTAGGTACAACAGTAGGAAAGTATAGGCCTCTTTTTTTTTTTTTTTTTTGGTATTAGGAATTCAGTGTGAAAAGCTGGCATATTTTTAATGCAGGAATTTCAACAGAGGGACACTGTAAGATGGTGGAAACTTGAATACATGAATAATGAAGAGAACATCTATCAGGAAGAGAACAAAATTATTCTACACATTATAAAATAATTTGATTTATATGTGTAACTATAATTCTCTCCCTACTCCTCAAGCACCCCCACTTCCTACACACAAATCTTTATTCCCTCTTAACTTTTTATTCAGATCCAGCTTCAAGTTTAACCTTGACATTAGTCATCAAGACTTCTTGTCTAGGTTCCTACGCTGTCTCTCATTTTTTCCCCATCATCCTATTTTCTTCTTCCATTAGTGTGGTGGTTCTTACAGTGGAATCTTTGGACAGAGACTGGGGATCTCTTGTGTGTATATTCTTTCATCTGATTCTGAGAGGGATCTAACTTCCAAAAAAGAGGAAAAACAAATACAGCAAGAGACTGAAGCCACCAAGTCAGCGGTGTGGAAGTCTGTTTGATAGAAATCATTCAACACTTAAAATAGCTATGCTACTCATTATATTTTAAACAGAACTTTTCTACCTCATTGCAAATGAAGAGTAGTGCTGCACATCCAGGAATGAAGAAATTTTAGCATGAGAGGAGTATTTGGAACATTACAAATCAAATAACTTTGTACTTACAGCATAAAAGACTATTGATGAATTATACATTTATAAATATCTTATCATCTATCCATAAAGATTTGTCCATCTCTTAACATCAAATAAATTACTTATCACATAAAATCATAGCTAACAAAAAATTTTAAATTATGTATGGCATAAAATAAGATACAAAAGTAAATGACAATGGCATACCTCCAAGCAAATCACTTCAGGCCAATATATTAACTGAATATTGAAAATTTGCTGAAACGTGACTTTAAAATCAAACTGTAGGGGAGATATTGAAGTACAAGAAACCTGTTTATTGTTGTAGAATATTTTAATAAAGTATTTGAGCTTTTGAATTTTGGCTCGCCTCTTTTGTTCATGCCTAAAAATTAAACAAACCTTTAAATCACCCTTAAGGAGTAGAACAGATATAAAATATTGTTCTTTCAAAATGTATATTATCATGTTAAACAGAATATAATTTCAGAGGACAAATGTTATCTTTATATCAAATAACACTTGTCTACATGTGGATAAAAATTTATTCCCAGTCAAATGTTTTTAATGAAAGAAATGTACTCAAAATATGTACTCAAAAATAGAAGAACTAAAATCAAGGTACTGTAAATCATTCAGCTATTACATTACTAAATTACAATTTAAAGAGATTACAGCACTTATCTACCAGATGTCTTATGAGAGGAAAAAACTGAGGGACTTGGGAATGGGTAGGAGAAGTTGAATAAAGAATTTAAAAATATTTCCTAACTTTAAAAAGACATGCACATAGATTACATACACAAACACACAACCCTCCACACACCATACTGCCAATAACTTCAAAGATGTGGCTCTAAGGCAACAGGCTTGCTGTGTCCTCTTAAAGGTCTTTGTAAATCATTGTAAGCTTTAGGCTGTGTACTCCTTTTCTCCAGGACAGTGGGAATGTCACCCTATCTTTGAACCCAAAGATCAAAGGAGCAAGCCAGGTTACTTCCCTGGGGGAAACACTTGTTGAAGCATAAGTTGATCCCTTGACTGATATAAAACTCCTAGAGTCTAAAGTACAATAAAATACATACATATATATGTATATGTATGTGTGTGTATATATATATATATATATATAAACTCCTAGAGTTTTCCATTCATTCATTAATTCACTCAATCAACATTTATTGAATATCTTCTTAGCTGCAAGAGAACTGACCTAGTGATATTTAAGACTTGACCCTCTTTTTTAGAAGGGAGAAGGCTGGGTGGAAGATAAACCCTAAGTTGAAACATAAAATCCCTTTCTGCTACCCAATCTAATCACCCTGTGGGCCCAGTATGTTCCTGCCCTATTACCTGTCCGTCTCTGTAAACTTCTCAGAGAGTTAGGGCACAAAAGATTACCTATTCTTCTTATTTCCCTTTTGGCCTCCTTCAACCATATTCCCAGTCACCTTTCAAGAAATATCTAAGTAAAAGTTACCCTTTCTGTTGTCCTCTAAAAGTAGTTTTAACAATGAGTTCATGAATTGATTATAAAAATTCATTGATTAAGGATTACATTTATCTTCAGGATATCTTGACTTTCTCTTTACCTATAAACTTTTTAAAATTCTTCTCTAATCTCTGTATTCTTTTCACTTCTATCCTCTATATCAACATATTATTCTTTTCTGGAGAATCAGTTTTTATTCAATTGTGTGTTTTAAATAGATGACAGCAATGCTATCAGATAGTAATGGCTCTGCAAATACATAAAACATCATATGTCTTTTTGCCTTGACTTCTACTAAATTTTAGTCTAGGTTTCCCAGCACAAATATGTTCTTCCTCCTTTCTTCTCTCTCCGTCCAACTTTCATTTTATGGCTCCTGTATTCTTACCCTTATTTAGACGGTCTTTTTATATGGGTGTCCTATATAATAAAAGATCTCAGGCCCTTTCTGGAAGTAGGTACAGAACAAATAAAGGATTTCTCCACTGCTGCACTTCTCTGGTCAGAAAGTGGGTGGTGATAATTGTGACTTTGTGTCTGCTACTCGTTAGGTTCATTGTTAATGTAATCATCCAATCATTCACTTAATAAATGTAAACATTTATTGAATACCCACTATGTTCCAACACTGCTAAATGATGCACATTCCCAATAATCAAAGATGGACTGGTACCAAGTGTGCCATGGGATAGAGATGTTGAAAAATTAGACCTGGTACTCTGCCATATCCTCTTTAAGGGAGATGGGATCCATAGGCCTAGTAGATGGAGAAATGGGTTACCTATGATGTTTGTTTTTGCATAACGTTCTAGGCATAGAGAGAAACATTATAGCTCAAGGAAGAAATCACAACTGGGAAGTAAAGAAGTTCATAATGTCAAAGAAAATTGTTCAGAGGGCCCTCTTGATGTGAAATAGTTTTTATGAGAACCAGAGCTCCTTTAACAAGCAAAGGCAATGGTATATTACTTTTTACAGTGGCTTTATATCTCACCTATATATACCTGAACAAAAATTACTACCATAGCAAACTGCTCCCCCAACAACATATCAATATATGAACTCTAGCAGTGAAGATACCATAGTTTCTATAGAAAACCAAACTGATTTATGTCCCACCTCAGTCATGTATTAGATGTGTGAACCTGGGCAATTTCATTTCCTATAAGCTACATTCCTTCTTTAAGATGAGGATAATATGGAACTCCATAGAGCTATGATGACAATGAAATGTGAAAATGAGTTTTTAAAAACTTACAGTGCCTGGCATATGATACTCACTCAAGAAATCCCACTTTAATATTAAAAACAATACAATTAATAGACAATATATAATAAAAAAAATAATTCTTTAAACATGCTTACAATGAACACTTGGATAAGCTTGTTAATTCTGCAGTGAAAGAAAGTTGTGGCCTCAAGGTAATTTGCTTCATTCTTTCAATTTCTGTTTCGTCTGGAACTAGATATGAGAGCCTCTAGAAATCAAAAAGTAAATATATAATTTACCATGTACATCCCTTGTGTGGGACATTTATTCTTAAAATTCATTTATTTCTTGTATTTGTCATTTTGTTGGATAACTGTTAGAAATACCAAGATTTTGCATTCTACCAAAAAATGAAATATTATAACTAGTTGAGTTTAATGTTATTTTGCAATATAAATACCTCTTGCTTTTTCCCATTCTTAAGTTCTTTTCCTTCAGTTTTCTTCTCAGTTTCAGATATTTCTGAGATTTGTTCTTGTTCTTGTTCATCACATTTATTTATTTTTATCCTAATTAATAATAAATAGAATTATTGAAAGCAGAAATAATGGAGGTATTTGAGAGTTGTTTGAGTTTTTGCCAACACACACACACACACACACTCACACACACACAATCTGTTACAAGTAATTTTACATTCTGAGGAAATTACCAATTTGATAAATATTTTAAAAGACTTTATAAATTTGTTCTTAGCTTGCACAAATTTCTCCCTGCTCAGTAAATTTATCATTGGTGTTTACAGTCCTTTCTAAAGGTATCAAGAAACCTTTCCTTTGGTGAGAATAAGTAACAGGGGAATGGGGAGATAGAAATTAAGGGACACATACCCTATTTTCTCTCATTTTTCTTCCTCTCATATTTTTTAAGCTGTGAGAACTTGAGCAGGTGATCAGGGTGATATCAAGTAGTGAATCATAGTTGGTGTTTATGCATAAACAGTAAACAGCTCATGGCATTAGCACTATTGCCACTACTGCTGCTACTACTACTAGCTAATCCTTATATAGTATTTACTAAGTGTGTGCCAATAGTGTAAGTACTTTACACATATGAACTGATTTAATTATCACAACCCTATGAAGTACTATTATTCCCCTTTTATTAGTAGTTCAATAAAATCCCAGTTACCTGAACAGCTTCAGAAAATTATTGATCTAGGAGTCAAGTTTTTCTGATAGTGTAAAAGTTTATTGTTTTCAGTATAAGGTTTTGTTTTCCATTTTAATCATTTAAGAAGGAAATCCTTTGGTAAAATATTATATGCTCTGTTGGGAATGTAAAATGGTGCAGCTATTTTGGAAAACAGTTTGGCAGTTCCTCAAAAATGTTAACTACAGAGTTACCATGTGACCCAGCAATTCCACGCATATACCCAAAAGAAATAAAAGTCATCAGCAGCAAGATGGGCACTGTCAATCTGCAGAACGATGTGAGCATTGTCCACAGCATTTGCAAAGATACGAGCTCTCAGGTCCTCGATGGTCTTGAATTAATGGCTCCAGTCTCTGACCTGGGATCCCTTCTTCTCCAGGCGCTTCTGGATTTTGCTCTCCAGCTTCTGGTTCTCAGTTTCCAGGCTTCTCACTCTGTCCAGGTAGGAGGCCAGGTGGTCATTTAGGCTTTATATGGTCTCCTTCTCATTCTGGATGTCTCCCATTCCCGCCAGACCCCCAGCCATCCCCACAGCAAGGCCCCTGGACCCCATGCTGCCCTGGAAGCAGGTGGACTGGGGCACGGAGATCCTGGCAGAGCTCCTGGAGCCTGCATAGACACTGGCCATGCTGCTGACCAGCCGGGCGCTGTAGCTGGGCACCTGGATAGAGCCCAGGGACTGATAGTTGGTGGAGAAGGTATAGCGAGTGGTGAAGTTCATGCTGTCCAGGGAAGAGAGCGAGAGGACAAAACTCAGACTCTGCCAACAACATATATGTTCATATATTTAAGATACAAATTCTTAGTTGACTACCTGGAATAGTTGCCTAGCTTCTAGATGTCTTCCTAGTCACTGTGAATTCCGTTATTCATGAGCAGTTCCTTAGGAGACCAATAAGAGCAAATAGAGCAGCCACTCACCTCTGAACCTGTAACTTTATTGGGGTGCTCGTAAACCCTTGCTGCTGTCGAAGAGATTTAATCTGTTTCCAAGTTCGTAATATACTGTGTAGTAGGGAGAGGTCCTTTCCCCTTTCTAAGTCATAGAGCTGTTTTGTATTACTACAACAAAAATGCCAGCAAAAATTTGTCAGTGGATTAGAACTAAAAGCCTTCAAAAGTGGCATGGAAGAATGTATTGCAATAACTCTTGTGAACTCTCTCCCCACCTTCTTTTTTCATTTTATACACATCTGAACCCCCCATCTTACTATATTTTATGTTACCCATGGCAATTCCATTAGAAATTCATTCCTTTATGACTTAAAGGTTTTTCAGTATTCAAAAGTGCCCTACTAAAATTTGCAAATGCTCCTGAGAAAGGAAATATCCCAGCTAGAACTCTACAAGATTTTTTTTTTTTTTCATTTTTGAGACAGAGTCTTGCTCTGTTGCCCAGGCTGGAGCTCTGTGGCATGATATCAGCTCACTGCCATCTCCACCTCACAGGTTCAAGCAACTTCCTGCCTCAGCCTCCCAAGTAGCTGGGACCCCAGGAATGTGCCACCGTGTCTGGCTAATTTTTGTATTTTTAGTAGCAATGGGTTTTACCATGTTGGCCAGCCTGGTCCCAAACTTCTGACCTCAAGCGATCTGCCTACCTGGGCCTCCTAAAGTGCCGGGATTACAAGCATGAGCCACTGAGCCCTGCCAGAACTCCACAAGATTCTGAAGTACCAAAAAGAGAAGAGCAATAGTGGAAGAAAGCAGTAATAAAAGAAAGGGGGTAGAAAGCCCATATGTTTTGATAATTGCACTTGCTATCTATTCAGCATTTAGTTAATTTCTGGTTGGCACTTCACTATTTACAAAAAAGAAGATGCAAACCAGCTGGTGCATGTCCCTTCCAATACTTTGGCGCTCCCACAACTTTTATTTTGCCACCTAAGTTTTACCTGGATGGTTCCAAAGCCACTAATGAGGGATTGGCTTAGATTTAGGATGCCAAAATCTCAAAAGGTTTGATGGGAAAGGATGGTAGTAGCCCAACACCATTGAGTTTGAGTCAATCTAACAAAGGGCTGGGGAGGGATTCTTTTTTAGTTAAAGTGCATGAAGATAGAAAATATGCATTTCAAGGCCGAGCATGGTGGTGCATGCCTATAATCTCAGCATTTTAGAGGCCAAGGTCAGGTGGATCACTTGAGCCCAGAAGTTCAAAACCAGCCTGGGTAACATGGCGAAAACCTGTCTCTACAAAAATTAGCTGGGCATGGTGGTGCACACTTCCAGTCCCAGCTAATTCAGAAGACTGAGGTAGGAGGACCACTTGAGCCCAGAAGGTTGAGACTGCAGTGAGCCGTGATTGTGCCACTGCACTCCAGGCTGGGTGACAGAGGGAGACCCTGTCTCAAAAAAAAGGAAAAAAAAAGAAAAGAAAATACGTATTTCAAAACTCAGTTTATATCACTTCTTCAGTACAGCCTTGTTTGAATACCCCCACAACAAAATTAAATTTTCTTATAGCCCTTCATGCTTTTCCTTTTAAATATTCATCACACTTTTAATAAGTTTTTCAATGTCTGTTTCCCCATGTGATTTCAAGTTTCAGGATACTGTGGGATGACAGGTGTATATTGTAAATGTTACCAACATTTTTTGTAAGCCTACATTGCCTCCCAATCCACTCATGTAGCTGAAGTGTGAAACAAGAATACTTAAAGGTGTGGTCATTTTGAGTAAGTGCTATTAGAAATGTGACACAGTAGAAAGAAAAGCAAGATACTTGGGAGCCAACAAACCCAGTGTTAACCGTGGTTCTTCCACTTACTTAAGAAAACTGCTTAAGTGCTCTGGGTCTTCATATGCTCAATTTTTCTTCAACCTCCTGACACCTATTTGAATGAAGCATCTCTAAACTGAAAGCAGTGGATCAAATTATTAATCAGGAAATAATAAAATAAATACACTTTTCTCCATGTATTTCCAGATTTTTCTGGAAATTGTATGATGTATTTATTACACTTTTTTCAGGTTAACAATTAGAACATTGCTTGAAGTTTAGAGGTACTTTGCCTGATAGGCTAGTAAGCATATTTTTAGAATATTTAAGTAACATACAGTTTTTTTAAAGTTTCTTCTATGTTTCATAACTTTGCAAACACATTGTATTAGTATGTTAAATTACACTAATTTCTAATGTTAAACCATCCTTGTATTCCTGAAATAATCCCAATTTGGTTATAACGTATTATTTGATAAAATTCTGTTTAGCACATGAGTTTCTATGTTCATGGATGAAATTCAGTTGCAATATTTTTATATGGTTGCCAGGTTTTAATTTCAAGGATGTGATGACCTCATTAAATGAGCTGAAAATGTAGCCTCTTTTTCTTTTGTTGGAAACAGTTTGTGAAGAATAGTAGTTATCTTTAAATAAAAGGTTGTGAAACATTTTTTGTTCATCAGAATCACCTGGAGGGCTTGCTAAACACAGACTGCCAGGCTCTACCTGTAGAGCTTCTGATTCAGTGGTCTGTGGCAGACCTGATAATTTGCATTTCTAACAAATTCACCAGTGAAGCTGATGATGCTGGTCTGGGGACCATACTTTGAGACCCACTGCTTTAAATTTTCTAGAAAGTACTCTAGTCATTTGAGCCTGGGGGGTTTTTTTGCAGAAAGATTTCAAATTAATGTTTTGATTTCTTTAACATTTATTGACTTAAACTTAAGTTTTGTTTTTTCTTCTTTGTCTTTCACTTCTTGAATATGTTCTGGTTAGTTGTATTTTGTGTAGATTTGTCTTCTCCATATAAATGTTTACATTCTTTAGCATAAAGTTATTTAAAACATACAGCATCTATAGTAATGTTCCTTTTCTTTCCTGACATTGTATATTTGCGCTGTTTCACTTTTTCCCCTTGATCAGCTTTCCCAGAGTTTATCAATTGTTATTCAACATTTGAATGTACTGATTTTCTCTATTATAGTTTTATTATTAATTTCTGTCTCTTTATTATTTCATTCCTCTTAGCCTTTATCCCAATTTATTTTCCTTCTCTCCATCTTCTCCTTTTGAATTTCCTGCAATGAGTATGTTGGTCCACTTAATGGTGTTCCACAGGTCTCTCAGGCTCTGTTTGCATTTCTCTCTAGTGACTTTTTCATTTCAGTTATACTTTTCAGCTTTATTCTTTTTTTCAATTTTCTATCTCTTTATTGTTACTTCCATTTTGCTTATGTGTTATTTATTTATTTAGAGACAGAGTCTCACTCTGTCACCCAGGCTGGAGTGCAGAGGCACAATTTCAGCTCACTACAAGCTCTGCCTCTCAGGTTCAAACAATTCTCCCACCTCAGCCTCCTGAGTAGCTGAGACTGCAGGTGCACACCATAATAGCTGGCTAATTTTTGTATTTTTAGTACAGACAGGGTTTTACCATGTTAGCCAGGCTAGTCTTGAACTCCTGGCCTCAAACAATCTGCTGACCTCAGCCTCTCAAAGTGCTGGGATTACAGGCTTGGAGCTACCACACCTGGCCTATTTGGTGTATGCATGGTTTAATGTATGGTTTTCTTGACTTTCTTGACATCTTTCTTTAGTTCTTTGAGCATCTTTAAGACAGTTGTTTTAAAGTCTTTATCTAGTGGGTCTTTGTCTAGTAGGTTTTTTCTGGCACAGTTTCTGTTGATTTATTCTTTTCCTTTGAGTTGTCCATACCTTCCTGTTTCTTTGTATAACTGTGTTTTTTTGTGTTGAAAACTGGATATTTGAATCTAATAATGTGGTAACTCTAGAAATCACTTTGTCCTCCTTTCCCAGGACTTGCTGTATGTTTGTTATTTTTATGTATTTATTTATTATTTTTGAGACAAAGTCTCACTCTGCCACCAGGCTGGAGTGCAGTGGCACAATCTAGGCTCTCTGCAACCTCCACCTCTCAGTTCAAGTGATTCTTCCACCTTAGCCTCTGAAATAGCTGGGACTACAAGCACACACCACCACATCCGGCTAATTTTTTTTGTATTTTTAGTAAAGACAGGGTTTCACTATATTGGCCAGAATAGTCTTGATCTCTTGACCTCATGATCTGCCCGCCTTGGCCTCCCAAAGTGCTGGGATTACAGGAGTGAGCCACCACGCCCAGCTTGTTATTGTTATTTTTTAGAAAAATCATTGTCAGCTGTCTCTGTGCCCAGGATCAGTCTGAGGTATAAACATAGGGTCCTCCCAGTTCTTTTCTGAGTCTTTACCTTTCCCTGGGCATGGGTGGTCACTTTCTAATTTTCCCTGTATATGCAGTTGCCTTTAAATGTCCTAGTCTTTAATATCTGGCTCCCAAAAGAGGAAAAAGGAAAAATGAAGGGGAGGAGAAGGGGCTCCAGCCTTTTCAATCCCCTGGAAGTCACTTTATCTAAGATAGAGGGGCTTGCAACAATGGGGAAAAGTGCAACAATAATGGTTCCCCACTCACTGCACCTCTGTGATTAGAAGTAAGCAGTGATCAGAACACAGGTCCCCATTATTTGTAGCAGAAGGTCCTTTTTTGCTTACCTTGGCTCCTGAAAACTATGTGTGGGTTACTCCAGTAACATGTGCACAGCTGCCTGCCATGGGGCTGAGGGGCAGGGGTGGGGGAATAGCTGATACTGTGCTAAAAGCTGACATTGACCAAAATTAACTCAAATTTACCACCCAAGTCTTCCTCTGGATGTTGCAAGCCTTCAATAGACTCCAGAGTTCCAAAATACAGGCTTTTCATATCCATGAGTTCTGCATCTTCAGATTAACCAATCTCAGATTTAAAAGTTTTTAAAAAGCCGATAAAAATAACAGGAGTAAAAAATAATGTGAATAAACACAGTAGAACAACTATGTAATAGCATTTACACTGTGGTGGGTATTACAAGTAATCTGGAAATGATTTAAAGTATATGGGAGGATATGCATAGGTTATATGCAAATACTATGCCATTTTATACAAGAGATTTGAACATCCATGAATTTTGGTGTCTGTAGCAGGTCCTGAAACCAATCCCTTGCGGATACTGAGGGACAACTGCAGTTACATCAGATGGATTCTCTGCCAGTACAACTGTTGTCTAGGAAGGGAGATGAATTCTTGGTGCTTCTTCCTCTTCCATCTTCTTAGAAACTGCTTCCACTGAATGTTTAAATGTTCATTTTATGTTTTTCATTTCTATAAATTCTCTTTGGTTCTTCTTATATAAAAATAGCTCAAGAAGTACTAAGTAATTTACTATATCTTGTTTGTAGATCATATTTTCAAGCTTTTCTTTTAAAATTGTATTAAACAAAGTTATGTTGTTTTCTGTATTTGATAAATCTATTATCTAAAGCTTTTGCTTGCATGAGTCTTCTGTTATTTCTACTGGCTCTTATTCATGCTGTCTGTGTGTGTGTGATAGAAGAGGTTGTAAACTATAAGCTCATGTTCCTTAGAATGTTATATCTTTGAATAATCTCAGAGCTAGGATTAAAATTGTGCTCTTCCAGAAAAAAAATATACATTTTATTTGCCAGTTGTTTGATGCCACTGCCAATCTGTGACTATTTTAAGTTAAGTTCTAAATCTGAGATTTTAGGCTAAATAAGTAGTATAAATTCATGTCAGAAATCTGAATGAAGGTTGTCATCTGATTATGAATACCTTCCAGTGAATTTTCCTGCTTTTGGAGATTCTGTGACACATGAATATGTTTTGTCCTGGAATTACCTTTCCAGTTATTTCATACTTCATAACTTCGCTTTCCAGTCTATAAGCCGATGGCCCCCAACTTGCAGACCATATTTTTTACAGGGGTCCTTATATCTACTGCTTATGAAATATTGTCTTTAGACTGAATTAATATCTTGCATATATGTAAAATGTGCACTAATTCTCAAATATATATTAACACTTCAGATCAATATAATCCAAGTCAATTTCAAAGTACTCATGAACTCATAGTTGTTCAACATTTTAAAAAATCAGTGGATGTTAAAACTATAACTACTTTCACGTGGCACCCCTGTGAAATATTTTTATGCAAACATGAGTCTTAAAAAAGATTGAAATCATTTCTGCAATATCCTAAAAAGTAGGAATTGTGTACTTTTCTTTATTTTCCTTAGCAAGTACAGTACTTTGTCTAAAGAAGTTACTTAATGAATGCTTGATGAACATGAATGGCTCAAAACCTACCTTATTTGCCAATTATAATCTTGTAAAGATTTTCTGGTCAGCCGGTTTATTTCTGAATTTTCATTTGATAATTTAGTAGCATCTGTCAGTGCTTTCAGCTATAACAAAGAAAAGAGCTCTTTGGTATATTTTATCTGCCTGTTACCATTACTCCAACTCACCTGCAGGTTAAGGTATGTGCAGCAGCAGAACAAATGTATAACTTTGTGTGCATTATTGGCTTATCTTCCACAATATATTTTATATAAGCACCTTGGGAAATAACTGAGAAGAGCCTCAATATCTATTTAGGCAATAAACATCAATTTAGTATCTAATAACATCTAGTATTTTGAACATTACTAGACTATCAATTAATCAATTGATATAAAGGAATGCCATTAGATCAAGAAGGCATATTGAGCACAGGTATCAATCTTATCTTCCACCTAAAATCCCATAGTTACATAAAAATATATGTCTCTTTATCCATATCCATTGCCATAATCACATCCATATCTATATACATATATTGATAACTATCTTTATCTATGTCCTTCCATGAAAGAATAAGTGCATAACATAGGAAAACAAGAAAGATAAAATCAAGAGAACAAGATATGCTGAAGAAGGTACAAAACAGTAACATCCATAGAACAACAGAATTGGAGGAAACTAGGCCCTAAAACACATAAAGGAGAAGTCTGTCACAGTGGGGGTAGTTTGTGGGAATTTCAAGCCTAGAGTCAATTGATATAAACTTTTACTGGAAGACATATGAGAAGACCTAAACAAACAGGAAAACAAACTATATTCCTGGAAGAGGAAACTCAATTTTTATGAGGATCAAATTTCTTTCAAAATTAATGTAACAGTACAACATACTCACAATAAAGATGGTAACAGCATTCTAAAAATAGAAGGTGACAAGCTAATTCTAAGGCTAATATGGAAGACAAAATCTATGGGGTATCCAAAAACATTCTAGAAAAGAACAACAATGAGGAAGCACTTGTCTTATGATATATAATTTAATAATTAATTAGGTATGATATATAATTTAATAATTAAATATGGTAATGAAACAGGACAGAACTAGACCAATATATCATATAAGGAACAGACAGTCCTCAAACAAACCTATATATTAATAAATATGTATGGCTGGTATAGGATAAAGTTAGTATTATAAGTCAATAGAGAAATAAATGATGGTATTTGGATATTAGGCTAATCTTTTGGGAGAAGGAGTGGAGTTGGAGCCCAGTCTCACTTGAGACACAGAGATAAACTCTACATAGAATAAAAGGCTAGAAGTTACATACACATATGTCATTGACACACACACATATATACACACATCCATATATATACACATACACAAATACATATATAATATATACCACAAGGATATATAAAAGGAAGTCTTTATAATTTTGGTCTTTCAGACACTATTCATTGCCCTTAAAGGATCATTTTTCTTCATTGGCAGAACACCAAGTTTGTTCAATTGCTCAATCATTTTCCATGTTTTTTTGAGGTAAACTGATTAGTGTAGCTATTTGCAGCAATTTTATTCTTGCCAATAAATGGTGAAATATTTCTAGTCAATGAGATATTAGAGGAAATCTGCTGCAGGGCAGGAGAGATTGGAGAAGGCTCTCAATGTGAGACACCATGCTGCATATTGTGTGTCTGGCCAGCATGCCTTGAGCTGGAGCAGCCACTTGGTTAGCTTCCATGAGTGGCGCTAACCCCAAGTCGACTTGCTGAAGATGAAGAGAAGGACAGAAAAGGCTTGTTGATAATATTGTCAAGACACCAAATTAACCAAACCTAGAGCTGCCCTAACTTGGACAATAGGAGGTAATGCCTTTTCCTTATTGTCTGAAGTAACTTAGATGAAGTTTTCTATGAATTGTAACCAAAATATGCTAATTGATAAACTTGAGGTAGAGAAGGTGTTAGGAAGCAACAAAAAAATCTAAAATTCACAAGGGAAAAGATTAACAGATTTGAACTTATAAAAATGTAAAATTCTTGCCAAGGTCAGTGGCTCACACCGGTAATCCCAACAACAGAGGAAGCTGAGGTAGGAGGATTGCTTGAGGCCAAGATTTAGAGGCCATCCTGGCAACACAGCAGGACCTTGTATCTAAAAAAATCTTTTTAAATGACCTGGGAGTTGGTGGCATGTACCTGTAGTCCCAGCTACTTGGGAGGCTGACTAAGAACATCACTTGAGCCTGGTACTTAAAGGGTGCAGTGAGTTACAACTGCAACACTGCACTCCAGTCTGGGTGACAGAGTGAGACCTTTCCCAAAAAAGAAATTTTTTCAATTTAAAATGTTTGCCAAAATATAAAATAAATAAAGTTCAAAAGCAAGTAACAGAATAGGACAAAAATATACAAAACATATTTAAAAGACATACTACTTTTATGGACTTGCATCTAGAATATATATGCATATACTTTCTTTTTTAACTCATGAATTAATTAAAGATAAAGCTAGAGAAAAATATTGAATATTGGTGAAGGCTCTGGGAAGTCAGCTCTGTCCTGCCTTGCCAGTGGAAATTCAAATTGGAAAAACATTTGGGAAAGGCATTTTATCACTTTCTCATAAAATTTAAGCATATACCCTTACCTTTGACCAGGCAACTTCACTTCTACAGAATTATCCTCTAGAAGTTTTCACATGTGTGCTCAAATATATAGGTACAAGGATATTCCCTGCTTCGTTATGAATCATAAAGAAATGACCTAAGTGTCATTGGATGGGAGTGATTAAATATATTACAATAAACCTATATTATGGATCTTTATATATATGGTGATAAATAAAAAGTTCCAAGATAGAGTATTAATTTTATAAAACCAGCTGGGCATAGTGGTGCACACCTATAGTCTCGCCTACTTGGGAGGCTGAGGTGGGAGGGTTGCTTGAGTCCAGGAATTTGATAACCTGGGCAATATAACAAGATGCTGTCTCTAAAAAAAAAAAAAAAAACCAAGTTGCCAAATAATACATATGGTAAGATCCGATTTATGTTAAAAACAATCATGGCATACATACATATATATAGAAATACAGGGAAAGGAGAACCATGAGGCGAAGAATGAAGTACAGCTTTCACATCTTGACACTTCAACAATTAATCCTTTCCAGCGATAATGTATTTCTGTATTACTGCATAATTCTGTTAAAGCTAGAGGAAAAAAGAGCAGAAGCCAGCAGAGCTGAGCATCCTTTCTCCTCACATACTATCTGCAACATCCCTCTTTGTTCTTTAAGTGGAATTCATATTCATATAAAGGAGCATATTTCAGTTTAAGAACTCCTTGGTGCCAATGAGTCCTCCACTATGAATTGGTTTGAACATACTAGGAACAGGCAAAGCCATACATTTCACACCCAGGGACTAAATTATCCATGTTTAAGAAATTAATCTTTTGGTGGGAGACCAATGGACATGCTCTGCACACCTGGCCTTTTCTTCCCTTCCCCACTGCTCCTCTCCACCTCAGAAGAGAATATTATGCACACTTCCACCGCAGTTATCTTTTTACAATTACTGGGAGATCAGATAAAACGTTTATATTCACATAAGAGAATAAATTTTTAAAAAGTAAAAATCTGCTAAGAAATTACCTTTGGCTCCTAATACAATAATAATACTGAAACATGTTGCAAATAATAATCCCAAAAGTTTTTATTTTATGCAGAGAGCCATGCATATACATGAAGCATAAACCTAGAGTCTATATATGCTTTAATAGATGGCACTCTAATAAACTGAAATTGATATTGCTAGATGAGACTTTAAAGATTCTATAATATTGTTGGGAAAAAAATTTGTAAAGTAGTAATCTGTAAATCAAATCACTTTTTAAATGACCTGCCTCTTAATCTAAGTTGTTTCTTTCATTCATTTAAAAAATGGCTATATTTCACTAAAAGAATATTCAACATTTACTTTAGGAAATATTATGATATTGCTAATATGGGGTGTTCATTTATTAAGTTCTCCTACACAATTGCTACATCAAATCAAATAGATTAACTCCCGGCTGGGCATGGTGGCTCATACCTGTAATCCCAACATTTAAGGAGGCTGAGGCAGGCAAATCTCTTGAGCCCAGGAGTTCAAGAGCAACCTGGGCAACATGGCAAAAGCCTGTCTCTATGAAAAAAAAAAAAAAACATTAGCTGGGTATGGTGCACACCTGTAGTTCCAGCTACTCGGGAGGCTGAAGTGAGAGGCTAGTGTGAGCCTGGGAGGCAGAGGCTGCAGTGAGCCGTCACTGAGCCACTGCATTGCAGCCTGTGTAAGACTTTGTCTCAAAAACCTTAAAAAAATAGATTAAGTTATGTGGGTTTTAAACATATATTTTAAAAAGCAGATATTGGCTGGGCAATGGTGGCTCATGCATGTAATCCCAGCACTTTGGGAGACCAAAGCAGGCAGATCACCTGAGATCAGGAGTTCGAGATCACACTGGCCAACATGTCGAAACCCCGTCTCTACTAAAAATAGAAAAATTAGCCACATGTGGTGGTGGGAACCTGTAGTCCCAATACTAAGGAGGTTGAGGCAGGAGGATCGCTTGAACCTGGGAGGCAGATGTTGCAGTGAGCCAAGATCATGCCACTGTACTCCATCCTGGGTGACAGAGCAAGGCTCCGTCTCAAAAAAAAAAGCAGATATTTATGAAGGTGTAGTTCATGTCCAGTTTATTGAGATGGCTTTGTGACTCCATCAGTATTGAATGTTTCATTAAATACTTTAGTGTGTATTTTATTTCAAATGTATTCATTAGTTGAATGAGACATACTATCAAAATACCTTTCTCAAGAGAATGCTAGTTAACAAAATGCTCATGTAGCAGAAATCCAGCAGAGAGTTTAAATGAACCACAAGTCTGTAAAAGTAATCAGTGGGTACTCCTTCTATTTCTCTTCAGACTTCATATACCCCTCCATATACCCATATACCCTTCTAATGACATCATTATGTCATTAGATTACTATTTGGATTAATCATCTTCAGACCAAGACTCTTCACGTTTGTAATGAGAACCAAGATTTCTAATATTTTAATTAAAATACTTCATTACAAGACTTAAAACAGGTACATGGCTCTTTTCAGTAATAATCATTTCAAATACTCTTCTTGAGTTATCGGACCAAGAATACCATTGATTAGTGAACCATTTGTGGTAAATATCCCATAGGATATATTTAAAGCTTTCTCCCCAGCCAGTCAACTCCTACAGTTTCTTTTCACAGAAACTGAAATTGAACCATTGGTCTACTTAGTTAAATATTTAGAAAATGTTCTGATAATTTGCTCTGCACTAGGAATTTTTTCTCTTTCAATACTAAGTGTTTATAATGAAAGTCATTCTCACCTTCTCATAAAGTAGCTGAGATACATTCTGTTGCTGCCTGTCCTGAAAACATTCATAAAGTTGGAGCAACCTAGCACATAATACCTGTTCTTGATTGAAGAGATGATGATGGCTGAATTGCAAACCCACAATGTTGAGGTCTAATTGGCATATTTCCCTTGGACCTTCTATTTTGTTCATAAATGAGCTTCCCAGGTCACATTTTACTGCCTTTTAAAGAAAAATAAGTGCATGATGTTAATTTGATTCAGTTTCTTTTGAAATTATAAGTAACTTTTCCTTGTAAAAGTAACACTTCATTGTAGGAAAATCGATATAGAAAAACAAAAAAAAATAATAATTTGATTCTTTTTCTTTAAAGTGATTATAGCCCTTAATTTCATCAAATATATTTATATTACAGCATTTTAATCATTGTGCTATTAACTATTGTCATCTGTCTCACTATTGTGTGCTGATCGAGTGGAAGTTGGACTTTGAATTTATAAAACCAAAAAAAATTTCCTACAGAAACACTAAGACAAATGGTGTTGAGGCCAGAGTTAAATAATAATTGCTTATTAAAACATTGTTTAGGCTGGGCGTGGTGGCTCACACCTGTAATCCCAGCACTTTGGGAGGCTGAGGCAGGTGGATCACAGGGTCAGGATTTCGAGATCAGCCTGGTTAATATGGTGAAACCCCGCCTCTACTAAAAATACATAAATTAGCTGGGCATGGTGGTGGGTGCCTGTAGTCCCAGCTACTGGGAAGGCTGAGGCAGGAGAATCACTTGAACTAGGGAGGCAGAGGTTGCAGTGAGCCAAGATAGTGCCACTGCACTCTAGCCTGGGTGACAGAGTGAGACTCCATCTCAAAACAAAAAACAAACAAACAAATATTATTTATAAATGAATACACTGGTGATCCTCTGGAAAATTCTCTTGAGGAACCTGGGCCCTCTAAGAAATTTCTATGTTTTAAGAAGAGCACCTGTTTTTGTACATGAGATTGTCTCCATTTGGATACCCAATGGCCCTTAAATTAGCTGAAGTCTGTAGGCCTTAGATCATATGGAAGATGATTCATTTGTTGTAGTCCACTTTTTTTTCAGATGGAGCCTTGCTTTGTCACCAGACTGCAGTGGTGCGATCTCAGCTCACTGCAACCTTTGCCTCCCTGGTACAAGCAATTCTCCTGCCTCAGTCTCCCAAGTAGCCGGGATTACAGGCATGTGCCACCACACCTAGCTAATTTTTGTACTTTTAGTAAAGACAGGGTTTTGCCATGTTGGCCAGGATGATCTCAATCTGCTGACCTCGTGATCCACCCACCTCAGCCTCTCAAAGTGCTGGGATTACAGGCGTGAGCCACTGTACCCGGCCAACCATTTTTTTTTAAGTAAAAGCAAATTTATTAAGAAAGTGAAGGAACAGTCTCACACTTGTAATCCCAGAACTTTAGGAGGCCAAGGTGGGTGGATTACCTGAGGTAAGGAGTTCAAGACCGGCCTGGTCAACATGACAAAACCCCGTTTCTACTGAAAATACAAAAATTAGCCAGGCATGGTGGTGGGCACCTGTAATCCTCGCTACTCAGGAGGCTGAGGCAGGAAAATTGCTAGAACCCGGGAGGTGGAGTTTGCAATGAGGCAAGATGGCACCATTGCACTCCAGCCTGGGCAACAGAGTGAGCCTCTGTCTCAACAACAACAACAACAACAACAACAACAACAAAACAAAAAAAAACAACAACAAAAAAAACTTTTTTTTAGTCCACTATTTTGAATTTATGCACGTTTGAATACACATGTGCCAGTATCACTGGCTTTTAGTGATGCAATTTGCGAGAGTTGGTAAGTTACTTAGAATATGCAGCTTGTTTCATCAATGCCTAGCCACTTGAGAGAAAAGCCATGAATACATCAACCCAAATAGGAGCACACTGAGCCCACTCTCCCGATCATTCTGTTGTAATATGAACGCTCTCCAGTCTGCCATTGCTGTTACACCTGCTGTTACACTAAAGAAGAAAAAAAACGTCTCTCCTCTAACCTGGTGTGGCAGACCCAATGTTCCTCTAGGACTGAAAGTCATCTGTAAGTGCCTACATCTCTGCCTCCCTATTTTTTCCTGAGTTAGGAACCTTTCGTTTTTCCTCACTGGGTTGCAGGGAGGCAGAGAAACAGCCATAAAGCTTGTTTATGCCTGGTAAGTCTTTGTTCTCTTTGTAAGAGCCAACCCATAAAAGGGAAACCTGCTCTTGATTTCACGTGAGAGATTGTCAATTGGTAGTAAGCTGGTAAACTGATCATTAAACAGGAAAGAAAACACCAAGGAAAAAATCATTTTGAGTTTAAAACAACAAAATTATAAAGGAACTTTCGAAAATTAAAGTTCCTAAGCTAGAGAAGCCTGTCGTGTTAAGCAGATCCAGCACTGGCTGAATAACTGTGTTGCTGAGTTGCTTTGGATTTCTATTGGAGTGATACAAGCCTCTGCCCTTGGCCCTATCCTCTTCAGCACCTACTGACTACAGTGCTAAGAAGCTAGAGGATGGTAAATGAGGTGGTGGAATATCTAACAACAACGAAGGGAGGCAATTTAGACTGGAGAGCAAAAACTAAAGGTGGAAGCGACTATAGGCTTCAAATACTTGAGGCACTGTCACCTAGGTGAAGTACTTTAAGTGTTCCCTATGGCCAAACAAGGTCAAATAAGTAGAAGTGATCCAGATATAGACTTTAAAAACAGAAAACAATGAACAATTAGAACTGTCTGCTGGGTGCAGTAGCTCGCCCAGCAGACAGTTCTAATCCTAATCCCAGCACTTTGGGAGGCCAAGGCAGGTAGATCACCTGAGGTAAGGAGTTTGAGGCCAGCCTGACCAACATGGCGAAACCCCGTCTCTATTAAAAATACAAAAATTAGCCAGGAGTGGTGGTGCACACCTGTAATCCCAGCTACTTGGGAGGCTGAGGCAGGAAAATCACTTGAACCCAGGAGGCAGAGGTTGTAGTGAGCCAAGACTGCACCATTGTACTCCAGCCTGGGCAAAAAGAGCAAAACTCCATCACAAAAAAAAAAAAAAAAACCAGTCCAACATTAGAATGAATTCTCTTGGGAAGTAGCAAACTCCCTGACACACTGATTATAAGCAGCACCTCACCAAGTGAGTTAAATAGGCTTCTAAAACTAGGTAAATGTGTTATACCAAAAGCATAAAGATTTGGGCAACAATGAATCAAAGGCTACATAAAAGCACAAAAACATCCAAGCTGGTTGACATATATAAAATCTATATAAATATAAAAAAAGAGTGCTAGAAATGGGAGCAGAGGGAAGGCCATAGTCAAATGGTCAGACGAAACTTTTCAGCAAATAGGAGGCAGATAGGATACCTGGGATAGTAGAGACACAACCGGCTGTTAAAGCACCTGGCAGAGGCAGCAGCGAACACAGGACTCATACACATGCAACTATTATATCTACTTTGGTTGCCCTTATATTTATTCTGGTGAGAGACAACAAATCAGATTTTCCTTCAAGGCTGGCTAGGCAGCACGAAAAATGTGAAAAGGATGGAAGAGAAAGGCAGGTAGAGGAATTTGTCTGACACACAATATACAACATCATCTGTTAAAGATGCTACTGTCTTTGTCAATTTGTGCTGCTATAACAGAGTACCTGATACTAGGTAAATTATAAAGAACAGAAATTTATTTCTCAGTTCTGGAGGCTGGGAAGTCCAAGATCAAGACACCCACATTTCATGTCTAGTGTGGACCTTTTTGCTGTGTCCACTGGAAGGGAGGAATGCTGTGTCCTCACATGGCAGATGGTGGAAGAGCAAAAGCCTCTTTGTAAGGGCACCTAATCCCACTGACAATGGAGGAGGAGGCTTAATGGTCTAATCACCACTTGTAGGCCCTACTCCTTAATGCTATCACAGATAGATTTAACTGGAGATAAAATATGGCAGAAAATTATGTAAGTGAATGGTAAGACAGGTCAATAGAATATATACAAACTAAAACTCAGAGAAAAAAGAATTTTTAAAAAAGCAAAAGTAGAAGACAAATTAAATAGAAAATCTGAATGGGCCTCTTTTTTGTGGTAAAAAATGCAAAGCATTAGATCTACCCTCAACAAATGTTTAAGTTTACAATACAGCACTATTAACTGTAAGCATAATGTTGTACCATAGATCTCCAGAGCTTTTTCATCTTGCATGACTGAAACTCTATACCCTTTGAACAGCAACTCCCTATTTCCCTCTCCCCCAAGTGCCTGGTAACCACCATTCTACCTTCTGCTTCTACGAGGCTACTTTGGATACCTCATATAAGTGGAATCACACATAATTTGTTCTTCTGTGATTGACTTATTTCCTTTAGTATAACATCTTCAAGCTTCATCCATATTTCAGCATATGATAAGATTTGTTATTTATGGCTAAATAATATTCCACTTCATGTACATATACCACATTTTCTTTATTCAACTGTCAATGAACAACTAGGCTGTTTCCACCTCTTGGCTATTGTGAAAAATGTTGCAATGAACATGGGAATGCAAATATCTCTTGAAAATCTGGAATTCAATTTTTCTAGATAAATACCCAGAAGTGAGGTTGCTGGATCATATTACAGTTCTATTTTAAATTTGCTGAGGAACTCCATACCACTTTCCATAGTGGTCACAACATTTTACACTCCCACCAACAGTATACTAGGGTTCCAATTTCTCCATATTATTGCCAACACTTGTTATTTTTTGGGATTTTTAAAAATAATGACCATTCTAACAGGTATGAGGCGAATAGCATTGTGGTTTTGATTTGCATTTCCCTGACAATTAGTGATGTTAGGCATATTTTATATGTCTGTTGGCCATTTGTATGTGTTTTGGGCCTTTTTTGTGGGGGAGAAATGTCTATTCAAGTCCTTTTCCCATTTTTTAGATTGGGTTGTTTTCTTGTTACTGAGTTGTTGAAGTTCCTTATATATTTTGGATTTCAACCTCTTATGAGATGTATGGTTTGCAAATATTTTCTCCCATCCCATAGATTGCCTTCTCTCCCTGGTGCTTGTTTTCTTTGCTGCAACAGATGCATTTTAGTTTGTTGTAGTCTCAGTTCTCTATTTTTGTGTTGTTGCCTATGCTTTTGGTGTCATATCCAGGAAACCATTGCCAAGAACAATGTTATAAAGCCTTTCTGAATGGACAGAT